CTTCAAAATTAAATTCTGACAGATTTGATATGATGACTTAAATATAAACATCTCACAGCATTCAACATAAATTTTATATTTTAGTCAGGATACTCTTTTTAGGTAGGCCATATATAGTTGAATAACAAAAGATAAAACAAATATCTAATCTTACCAATTTTTGGGTACGGAAATGATGTCATTTAAATGCGTTCAGATAAGTAAATAGTAATTACAACTTACATGAGCAACAAACGGTTTCATGTAAATTATATTATTACATGACTGGAACTAATATGAGTTTATGAGTTGTATTATCTTCAAGTCAAAGACCAAACTGAGTTTATGGGTTGTGTTATCTTAAACTCAAGGCCAACAGTTTCTTATGGATAAAAACTCAAGGGTCAAATTCGCTTAAAGCCTTAAACCCTAACCACAACATGCAAAAGTCAAATTGTATAACTCGGCTTCTCTAGCAAACTAATGGGCTTTCTCCAGAACGCAAAAGTCCAAACCGGTTGGATACGGTTCGATTTTAAAAACCAAACCAATCCCACAGTAAAAAAACCGATCGGTTTAATCAAAACCCTTAATTTTCCCATCTCATCGTCATCTTACGATCACCTCCTCAGACTTTGGCCGTCTTTGTTTCGCCGTAATTCTCAGTCGTCACCGTCTTTCTTCTTCCATTGCCAGCTTCTCATTTCTGCAGATTCTCTCGTCAAAAGTAGGTTTATACTTTTGCTATCTTTATTACTCTGTTTGTGGGTTTTTTGTTTGATTCTGCCATTCTTTTGTTCCTACTGTTTCTTATTTTCAACCTCAGATTTAGATACGTATCTGTAATTTTCTGAGTTGATACTGTTACGAAATCTCTCTACTTTGCAAAAAAAATCAAAGCTTTTAGTCTTTTTAGTATGAATCGATGTCTAAAGCTTTAGTCTTTGATCTGGAAAAATCACATCTTCACCAATCAGAAATCCTCTGTTATTAACGTTTCTTTACTACTGCAGGGTCTTGTTTAGATTCTTGCAATGGCTTTTAGGCGAACTTTATCTATAAGGTCCACACTTAACGCTCGTCGGAGCCAACTACCTTATCATATAATCCCTCGTGGGAATGATCATGAAGGGGATTCTTTATGTCAAGAAACATCTCAAAGAAGTTACCATAGCTTTCTTCACCGAAGTTTCGCTAACAACAACTCCGATTTTTCGGGAGGAAGCTTGCATTTGCCTCTGGTTCCTACGTCTGGTTTTGCTTTCTATCGTTATATATCAAGTGCACATGGTGTCGGTTCGGAGAAGATCGGTGTGATGTCCGATATTGCAGAAGTTATAACCGACTCAACATTGCAAGATGCGCCGTCTCAGGCTGCTGCTGCGGTCAGTGAAGTTGCACTTGCAGCTAGTGACTCTTTCCTTCCTATTGCGGGCCTTCAGCATTGCATTGATATGGTGCACACATTTACAGGGCTTGAGTGGTAAGAAACTTGAATTTTGTTCTTTGTGTTGTGTTTGATTAGTCTGCCCTCAAGGATGATCTTAAGTATCCATCACATGTTAACATTCAGTGTTAGTTCTCTTGATATTACTATCCTCATATCGTTTGCCTTTAATAGGTGGGCTTCCATTGTTATAGCAACCATTGTGATCCGATCATCCACAGTTCCTCTCTTGATCAAACAAATGAAAGACACAACGAAATTATCGGTATGTGTCTCTCCTTTGCTCCTTTGTGTGCACCTTGCAGACCGTTTATGATGGTTCATGTGTGAAGCTAATCCAAATTTAGAAAGTGACTGTATTTAGAGAACTAGACACACTTCTTTTGGTTGAAAAGAGTCCTATAACCTATTCCCATTTCTCTTGTTTAATGAAAAATAATTCCGTTTCATGTTTCCGAATGGCATCAAGTGGTTATTGATTCTGTGTGCTTCTACATGTGAATGAACCATCAAGAGGATTTTAAGGATCCTTTAAATAAAAGGTGTGGTATTGTGATACTAAGGACAAAATAAAACTTTACTAGGTGATTTGGAAGTCGCATTTCCATTTGATTATGACCAAAAAAAATTCTCCTCACTACTGTAGAAAACGTAAACATTGAGCTTATGATTGATAAGAGTAGGAGGAAGAGAGAGGAAGCTTGATTAGAGAACTAGTTTCTGCAACTTGTATATGCCAGTTAGATTTGTAAGGGTATCTTCTAAAACTATTAGACCCTCTGCTTGGATCGTACTGCATTTGCCAGATATGAGGTAGTAAAAGATAGCTAACCGTCCACACTAGGTTAATAGCCAGTAGTAGTCAGGAAGATTATTCTTGGCTTATTGTGTTTTTAACTTTTTACATATTCAGGAAAATAAAATTTGACATCTTAATGTAAAGCATATGCTATGCACAATAACTTACTTTTCCGTCATTTTTACCTGTTCA